AAACAGCTTGATTGCCATAGCAACATCAGGGAAACTGGGCAGAAGAGAGTGGTGCTTCAAATACAGCAGTTGTGCAACATCTTTGATTGAGCCTCTCATAATTGCCGGCCTCAACACGATACAGAAAGAGATGTATAGGAAGCTCTGGGGACAAGTCGTCTGGATACTGGACAGGCAATAAATTGGCAGATGCAAACAGATTATCTTGAGGGCTTGAACAAAAAAAGCAGATTGCGATTTTGTTCATACTGGTGAACCGGCATTTGAGTTGTGTGGTTGCAATATCAACAGTCCATTATCTCTGGTGTATCTTGGCATGCATCATTCAAGACTAAGTTTAAAATGTGTACAGCACAATGGACATATAATGCACACTGTCTCAGTAAAGACCGTCTTGGTTGGCAATACTCAGTATAGAAAACAGTCAGGCCGTGGTGAAAACATTTGCACACAAAAATGCAAAGCGACGCCGTCGCATACTGTAGCTACAAACAGGCCTCTAGACAGAAACAAAGAAAGACAGCAGCACAGACACACAGATACTTTTTCTAAGAGAAAGAGAGAACAAGAGACAGAGACACAGAAAAGAGGACTTCAGGAGACCAGGGGAGTCTCTCAAGTTGGATTTAATTTAATTGGATTTAATTTACCTTGAATATTGCGGCCCATTTGTGTAGGCTATTAGCCAGACAAAACCTATTGAGTTCAACAATAAATAGTGGCTGAATTTATCCTCAAAGAAACATAATACAGTGATAAGCACAGGAAAAATCCTATAGGAAAACCTGGTTCAGTCTGCTTTCCAACAGACACTGGGAGACAAATTCATCTTTCAGCAGGACAATAACCTAAAACTCAAGGCCAAATCTACACTGAAGCTGCTTACCAAGACGACATTGAATGTTCCCGAGTGGCCTAGTTACAATTTTGACTTAAATCGGCTTGGAAATCTATGGCAAGAATTGAAAATGTCTGTCTAGCAATGATCAACAATCAACTTGACAGAGCTTGAAGAATCTAACAAATAATAATGGCCAAATATTATACAATCTAGGTGTGCAAAGCTCTTAAGAGACTTCTGAAGGCATAAACACGCACACTACATGGCCAAAAGTATGTGGACACCTTCTCTTTGAACATTTCATTCCAAAATCATGGGCATTAATATGGAGTTGATCCCCCCTTTGCTGCTATAACAGCCTCCAATCTTCTGTGAAGGTGTTGGATGTTGGAACATTGTTGCGAGGACTGATGTTGGGCGATTAGGCCTGGCTCGCAGTCGCCGTTCCAATTCATCCCAAAGGTGTTCTATGCGGTTGAGGTCAGGGCTCTGTGCAGGCCAGTCAAGTTCTTCCACATTGATCTCGACAAAACATTTCTGTATGGACCTCACTTTGTTTACGGGGGTATTGGCATGATGAAACAGGAAAGGACCTTCCCTAAACTGTTGCCACAAAGGTGGAAGCATGTCATTGTATGGTGTAGCGTTAAGATTTCACTTCACTGGAACTAAGGGTCCTAGCCCGAACCATGAAAAACAGCCCCAGACCATTATTCCTCCTCCACCAAACTTTACAGTTGGCACTATGCATTCGGGGAGGTAGCGTTCTCCTGGCATCCGCCAAACCCAGATTAGTCTGTCGGACTGCCAGATGGTGATACGTGATTCATCACTCCAGAGAACGCGTTTCCACTGCTCCAGAGTCCAATGGTAGTGAGCTTTACACCACTCCAGCCGACGCTTGGCATTGCACATGGTGATCTTAGGCTTGTGTGTGGCTGCTCGGCCATGGAAACCCATTTCATGAAGCTCCCTATGAACAGTTATTGTGCTGACGTTGCTTCCAGAGGCAGTTTGGAACTCGGTAGTGAGTGTTGCAACCGAGGACAGACGTTTTTTACGCGCTACATGCTTCAGCACTCGGCGGTCCCGTTCTGTGATCTTGTGTGGCCGACCACTTCCCGGCTGAGCCGTTGTTGCTCCTAGACGTTTCCACTTCACAATTACAACAATTACAGTTGACCGGGGCAGCTCTAGCAGGGCAAAAATGTGACAAACTGACTTGTTGGAAAGGTGGCATCCTATGACGGTGCCAAGTTGAAAGTCACTGAGCTCTTCAGTACGGGCCATTCTACTGCCAATGTTTATCTATGGAGATTGCATGGCTGTGTGCTCGATTTTATACACCTGTCAGCAATGGGTGTTGCTGAAATAGCCGAATCCACTAATTTGAAGGGGTGTCCACATACCTTTGGCCATGTAGCATATATATATATATATATATATATATATATATATATATATATATATATATATATATATATATATATATATATACAGTGGGGAAAAAAAGTATTTAGTCAGCCACCAATTGTGCAAGTTCTCCCACTTAAAAAGATGAGAGAGGCCTGTAATTTTCATCATAGGTACACGTCAACTATGACAGACAAAATGAGAATTTATTTTCCAGAAAATCACATTGTAGGATTTTTAATGAATTTATTTGCAAATTATGGTGGAAAATAAGTATTTGGTCAATAACAAAAGTTTCTCAATACTTTGTTATATACCCTTTGTTGGCAATGACACAGGTCAAACGTTTTCTGTAAGTCTTCACAAGGTTTTCACACACTGTTGCTGGTATTTTGGCCCATTCCTCCATGCAGATCTCCTCTAGAGCAGTGATGTTTTGGGGCTGTCGCTGGGCAACACGGACTTTCAACTCCCTCCAAAGATTTTCTATGGGGTTGAGATCTGGAGACAGGCTAGGCCACTCCAGGACCTTGAAATGCTTCTTACGAAGCCACTCCTTCGTTGCCCGGGCGGTGTGTTTGGGATCATTGTCATGCTGAAAGACCCAGCCACGTTTCATCTTCAATGCCCTTGCTGATGGAAGGAGGTTTTCACTCAAAATCTCACGATACATGGCCCCATTCATTCTTTCCTTTACACGGATCAGTCGTCCTGGTCCCTTTGCAGAAAAACTGCCCCAAAGCATGATGTTTCCACCCCCATGCTTCACAGTAGTTATGGTGTTCTTTGGATGCAACTCAGCATTCTTTGTCCTCCAAACACGACGAGTTGAGTTTTTACCAAAAAGTTCTATTTTGGTTTCATCTGACCAAATGACATTCTCCCAATCCTCTTCTGGATCATCCAAATGCACTCTAGCAAACTTCAGACGGGCCTGGACATGTACTGGCTTAAGCAGGGGGACACGTCTGGCACTGCAGGATTTGAGTCCCTGGCTGCGTAGTGTGTTACTGATGGTAGGCTTTGTTACTTTGGTCCCAGCTCTCTGCAGGTCATTCACTAGGTCCCCCGTGTGGTTCTGGGATTTTTGCTCACCGTTCTTGTGATCATTTTGACCCCACGGGGTGAGATCTTGCGTGGAGCCTCAGATCGAGGGAGATTATCAGTGGTCTTGTATGTCTGTCTTCCATTTCCTAATAATTGCTCCCACAGTTGATTTCTTCAAACCAAGCTGCTTACCTATTGCAGATTCAGTCTTCCCAGCCTGGTGCAGGTCTACAATTTTGTTTCTGGTGTCCTTTGACAGCTCTTTGGTCTTGGCCATAGTGGAGTTTGGAGTGTGACTGTTTGAGGTTGTGGACAGGTGTCTTTTATACTGATAACAAGTTCAAACAGGTGCCATTAATACAGGTAACGAGTGGAGGACAGAGGAGCCTCTTAAAGAAGAAGTTACAGGTCTGTGAGAGCCAGAAATCTTGCTTGTTTGTAGGTGACCAAATACTTATTTTCCACCATAATTAGCAAATAAATTCATTAAAAATCCTACAATGTGATTTTCTGGGGGGAAAAATCTCACTTTGTCTGTCATAGTTGACGTGTACCTATGATGACAATTACAGGCCTCTCTCTTCTTTTTAAGTGGGAGAACTTGCACAATTGGTGGCTGACTAAATACTTTTTTTCCCCACTGTATATATATATATATATATATTCCGGACTCTGACATTGCTCGTTCTGATATTTCTTAATTTTGGGATTATGTGTGTATTGTTTTGTATTGCTAGGTATTACTGCACTAGAAACACAAGCATTTTTCTGCACCTGCGATAACTTACATTTACATTTACATTTACGTCATTTAGCAGACGCTCTTATCCAGAGTGACTTACAAATTGAACTTCTGCAAATCATTGTGCGCGACCAATAAATGTTGATTTGATGGACAGCAATCGGTCTATAACCTCAGTGGTGGAAAAAGTACTCAATTGCCATACTTGAGTAAAAGTAAAGATACCTTAATAGAAAATGACTCAAGTAAAAGTGAAACTCACCCAGTAAAATACTACTTGAATAAAAGTCTGAAAGTATTTGGTTTTAAATATACTTAAGTATCAAAAGTAAAAGTTTAAATCATTTCAAATGGCTTATATTAAGCAAACCAGATGGCACAAGTTTCTTGTTTTTTAAATGTACAGATAGCCAGGGGCACAGTACAACATGCAGACATAATTTACAAACAAAGCATTTGTGTTTAGTGAGTCCGCCAGATCAGAGGCAGTAGGGATGACCAGGGATGTTCTCTTGATAAGTGCGTGAATTGGACCTTGTTCCTGTCCTGCTAAGCATTCAAAATGTAATGAGTACTTTTGGGTGTCAGGGGAAATGTATGGAGTAAAAAGTACATTATTTTCTTTAGGAATGTAGTGAAGTAAAAGTAAAAGTAGTCAAAAATATCAATAGTAAAGTAAAGTACAGATGCCCCAAAAAACTACTTAAGTAGTACTTTAAAGTCCAGAGAAACTGCGTTATGCCAGTGTAAGGGCTGAGAGGTTGAGGAGTGTGTGTGTGTGTGTGTGTGTGTGTGTGTGTGGGTGCATGTGCCTGCATGTGTATGTATGTGTGTGTGTGTGTGGGTGCGTGTGTGTGTGAGCATACGTGTACGTGTGATTAATTGACATAGCAATTACCTGGGCTCTGCTCTACACAGCTTCCCCAGAGCGATGGCAGCATTTTGCTGCACAGCACTTCTCTTGGCATCGCCCGCAGCGTGGCGGAGAAGGAGCAGGACAGTGTCGGTGCCCAGGAGGCTGCTGGCTGCCCCCTGCACCCCCAGGCAGTGGCCCAGGCACAGGGCAGCGTTCCCTGCCACTGCCTCCTCACTGCTGGGGCCCAGGAGCCTCCTCAGGGTGTAAAGTCCTGATGAGTAGGACAAAATAAAAGTTGCCCAATGTAATCACATACACACACACACACAAAGCAACACACACGCACGCACACACGCACACACCTTATAATACAATATCTGTTTTTGTTATTTAGAATCTTTTACATAACACTCTAGTTCAAAAACCAAGACCAATCCATCATACGTGTATCTTACTTTTATCACATTTCACCCATTCCTCCTGAGCCGTTTGACTGATAGCCGTGCACACTGTGAGGGTCTTGATCAAATATTTAGTGGTGGTCATCCCTGATCCCTGCACGGCAAGATAAAAACATTTCTGTCACATCATATACAGTATACAGAATCCTTTATGTCAGTCCGTACAACACATTATTATTATTTTATCAAGAAGCTGTGGGTTGCCGTAGACAGGGAAGAAGGCCTTGTGAATCGGGCAGTGATCATCCAAAAGAAAGACAGATAAAGAAAAAAAGCTATAAATGATGCTTGGCATTACTTTCAGTAGCCTCCGCATTGTCCCCACAACTCCTCTCTGCACGGCGTCTTCAGTAGCAGCAGGGGACTGTGGAAGCACTTTACTCAGCAAACCTGTGGCTCTCTGAGGCCAAGAGAAAGAACAATATGCAGTCAGTGGGAAAATAAACAAAGTGAGTGGGGAAAGAAACCGAGCAGCTATCAACACCTGCTGCTGATATTCTGTCACATTTACTGACCCAGAGAGAGAGATCCTTAATGTCACACTGAATGTCAGAAAGTATTAAGACCCCTTGACTTTTTCCACATTTTGTTACATTACAGCCTAGAATTGATTAAATTGTTTTTTTCCCCCTCATCAATCTACACATAATACCCCATAATGACAAAGCAAAAACAGATTTAGACATAAAAATTGTTTTAAAAAATGAAATATCATATTTGCGTAAGTATTCAGACTCTTTACTTAGTACTTTGTTGAAGCACCTTTGGCAGCGATTACAGCCTTGAGTCTTCTTGGGTATTATGCTACAAGCTTGGCACACCTGTATTTGAGGAGTTTCTCCCATTCTTCTCTGCAGATCCTCTCAAGCTCTGTCAGGTTGGCTGGGGAGCGTCGCTGCACAGCTATTTTCAGGTCTCTCCAGAGATGTTCGATCCGGTTCAAGTCTGGGCCACTCAAGGACATTCAGAGACTTGTCCTGAAGCCACTCCTGTGTTGTCTTGGCTGTGTGCTTAGGGTCGTTGTCTTGTTGGAAGGTGAACCTTCGCCCCAGTCTGAGGTCCTGAGCACTCTGGAGCAGGTTTTCATCAAGGATCTCTCTGTGCTTTGCTCCGTTCTTCTTTCCCTCTCCTAGTCCCTGCCGCTGAAAAACATCCCCATAGCATGACGCTGCCACCACCATACTTTACCGTAGGGATGGTGCCAGGTTTCCTCCAGACGTGACACTTGGCATTCAGACCAGAGTTCAATCTTGGTTTCATCAGACCAGAGAATCTTGTTTGTCATGGTCTGAGAGTCCTTTAGGTGCCTTTTGGTAAACTCCAAACGGGCTGTCATGTGCCTTTTACTGAGGAGTGGCTTCCGTCTGGCCACTCTACCATAAAGGCCAAATTGGTGGAGTGCTGCAGAGATGGTTGTCCTTCTGGAAGGTTCTCCCATCTCCACAGAGGAACTTTGGAGCTCTGTCAGAGTGACCATCGGGTTCTTGGTCACCTCCCTGACCAAGGCCCTTCTCCCCGATTGCTCAGTTTGGCCGGGCGGCCAGCTCTAGGAAGATTCTTGGTGGTTCCAAACTTCTTTCATTTAAAAATGATGAAAGCCACTGTGTTCTTAGGGACTTTCAATGCTGCAGACATTTTTTGGTACCCTTCATCAGATCTGTGCCTTGACACAATTCTGTCTCAGAGCTTTACGGACAATTCCATCGACCTCATGGCTTGGTTTTTGCTCTGACATGCACTGTCAACTGTGTGACCTTATATAGACAGGTGTATGCCTTTCCAAATCATGTCCAATCAATTGAATTTACCACAGGTGGACTCCAATCAAGTTGTAGAAACATCTCAAGGATGATCAATGGAAACAGGACGCACCTGATCCCAATTTCGAGTCTCATAGCAAAGGGTCTGAATACTTATATAAATAAGGTATTTCTGTTTTTTATTTTTAATACATTTGCAAACATTTATAAAAACCTGTTTTTGCTTTGTTATTATGGGGTATTGGGTGTAGATTGATGAGGATTTTTATTTATTTAACTAAGCAATAAGGCCCGAGGGGGTGTGCCTGGACACAGCCCTTAGTTAGCCATGGTATATTGGCCATATACCACAAACCCCTGAGGTGCCTTATTGCTATTATAAACTGGTTACCAACGTAATTAGAGCAGTAAAAATAAGTGTTTTGTCGTACCCGTGGTATACGGTCTGATATACAGTGGGGAAAAAAAGTATTTAGTCAGCCACCAATTGTGCAAGTTCTCCCACTTAAAAAGATGAGAGAGGCCTGTAATTTTCATCATAGGTACACGTCAACTATGACAGACAAATTGAGAATTTTTTTCTCCAGAAAATCACATTGTAGGATTTTTTATGAATTTATTTGCAAATTATGGTGGAAAATAAGTATTTGGTGACCTACAAACAAGCAAGATTTCTGGCTCTCACAGACCTGTAACTTCTTCTTTAAGAGGCTCCTCTGTCCTCCACTCGTTACCTGTATGAATGGCACCTGTTTGAACTTGTTATCAGTATAAAAGACACCTGTCCACAACCTCAAACAGTCACACTCCAAACTCCACTATGGCCAAGACCAAAGAGCTGTCAAAGGACACCAGAAACAAAATTGTAGACCTGCACCAGGCTGGGAAGACTGAATCTGCAATAGGTAAGCAGCTTGGTTTGAAGAAATCAACTGTGGGAGCAATTATTAGGAAATGGAAGACATACAAGACCACTGATAATCTCCCTCGATCTGGGGCTCCACGCAAGATCTCACCCCGTGGGGTCAAAATGATCACAAGAACGGTGAGCAAAAATCCCAGAACCACACGGGGGGACCTAGTGAATGACACGCAGAGAGCTGGGACCAAAGTAACAAAGCCTACCATCAGTAACACACTACGCCACCAGGGACTCAAATCCTGCAGTGCCAGACGTGTCCCCCTGCTTAAGCCAGTACATGTCCAGGCCTGTCTGAAGTTTGCTAGAGTGCATTTGGATGATCCAGAAGAGGATTGGGAGAATGTCATATGGTCAGATGAAACCAAAATAGAACTTTTTGGTAAAAACTCAACTCGTCGTGTTTGGAGGACAAAGAATGCTGAGTTGCATCCAAAGAACACCATACCTACTGTGAAGCATGGGGGTGGAAACATCATGCTTTGGGGCTGTTTTTCTGCAAAGGGACCAGGACGACTGATCCGTGTAAAGGAAAGAATGAATGGGGCCATATATCATGAGATTTTGAGTGAAAACCTCCTTCCATCAGCAAGGGCATTGAAGATGAAACGTGGCTGGGTCTTTCAGCATGACAATGATCCCAAACACACCGCCCGGGCAACGAAGGAGTGGCTTCGTAAGAAGCATTTCAAGGTCCTGGAGTGGCCTCCAGATCTCAACCCCATAGAAAATCTTTGGAGGGAGTTGAAAGTCTGTGTTGCCCAGCGACAGCCCCAAAACATCACTGCTCTAGAGGAGATCTGCATGGAGGAATGTGCCAAAATACCAGCAACAGTGTGTGAAAACCTTGTGAAGACTTACAGAAAACGTTTGACCTGTGTCATTGCCAACAAAGGGTATATAACAAAGTATTGAGAAACTTTTTGTTATTGACCAAATACTTATTTTCCACCATAATTTGCAAATAAATTCATTAAAAATCCTACAATGTGATTTTCTGGAAAAAAAATTCTAATTTTGTCTGTCATAGTTGACGTGTACCTATGATGAAAATTACAGGCCTCTCTCATCATTTTAAGTGGGAGAACTTGCACAATTGGTGGCTGACTAAATACTTTTTTTCCCCACTGTACCACGGCTGTCAGCCAATCAGCATTCAGGGATCGAACCACCCAGTTTATAATCCATTTTAGAATAAGGCTGTGACGTAGCAAAATGTGGAAGAAGTCAAGGGGTCTGAATACTTTCCGAATACACTGCATGTCGAGATAAGTTTTGAATCGTTTTTAGCCCCTTGATAGAGACTGCTCAGACCAAAATGTGTTATGTTTTCTTATACGTGTTCTAATCGTAACTTTTCAATGCCTCGGAAAACATGCTGACGAAGCAGGAGTTGTGTTTATATCTAAAACGAGTAGCTACACATAAAAAAAGGTATTGTTTCATCTTGTTTCTCTCCAAGTCTCTTCCATCTTTGTTTGCATATGAAAAATGCTTGCGATATGGATAGTTCGAGGGGCCGTAGAGAAGTGTCAGTGAGAGATACAGTGGCGTTGGTCTCATCAGTAGAACTGCGTCGGGGCCCTTTGGTGCAAGGCGGTGAGATTCATATCACTCACTGTGATGATGCCCCCGTCGGGATCACTCAGCAAGCCCAAGCATACGCCACTGATGGGAACAGCGTGCTCCTGCAAGATAAAGGAGAGAGAGAAAGCGCGAGAGAGAAAGGTTAATACAATTTTCAGTGTACATATCACTTTTTCATAGGGGTGCTTATGATTATACCAAAGGGGCTGAAACAAAAGCTCTCAGTGCTCATTTTGTTCTTGTTCTTCCACTCACCTCCCTCCCTCTTCCCATCAAATTGATGTGTTACCCTGATAGGTGGGCCAAGGACTAGTCAATCGCTGCCCAACTCCAAATGGTGGCCTAGTGTGCCATGGGCCCTGGTCAAAAGTAGTGCACTATATAGAGAATTAGATGCCATTTGGGATACGCCCAGCCTAACAGCCTCTATCGTACCTGGATGGCTGTGGAGGAATTACCGGAGAGGTTGATCATCAGTCCCAGGAGGGGATAAAGGATCTCTCTGTATTCACAGTGAGTACACCACTCCTGTAATAGAGAACAACAATGCAATACAACACACACTGGATTTGGTTTGAGAAATGTCATTGTACATTGTTATCTATTCTGGCTTATAAGTTTCAGTGTATGACATTTCAAAAACTTGTTTTTATTGGACAGAGAAAAAGCAAGTGTGCCATCATTAGAATTGAAAAATGATAAAATAGAGAAATTAACATCTCAGTTCAGTTAAGTTTAGGAAAATAGAAAAGTTGTATGCTCCTCTAAAATAAGCTAGTCATAAATACAATATGTAACCATATTCACCATGGCGATTAGAAAGGCCTGCCAACACTCCTGACAGTTGGCAACCTCTTTATGGATGGCATCATCTCCAGTCATATGGCCTATTGTTGATATGAGCGATGGAAAAATGTGCTGGTTGGATGTGGTGATGTTTCTCTGCAAGCGGAGCACATGGAAAGATTATCCCAAAAATATTTGGACAATGTCTGATCCCAGATCAGTTTTTGCTATATAACCAACTCATATGGTCGTTGTCAAGTTTGGCATGACAGATCTCGGACCAGGCTACAAGAACTACAGTATCAGGAGCAAATTAAGTATTTGATGAGATGTAGCTAACTTCCAACACAAATATCTTACCAGCAGACTTGCGAAAGGGAGCACAATCAATGTTTTAAACGTGTCCCTTAACTGCAAGCAAAATCTGTAACAGAACAGGGAGTTATCCATGATGAACACGAAATGTACAAGAATATACAGTAGATATGCTACAAATCACTTGCCTATGCTGTATGTGATGTAGCCAACTCTATACAATAGGCTCCTACATGACAAGGAACAATAAAATAATTGGATGCACAGTGCAAACAGTATGGACACAGCCAATAAATCTCAGGCTACAAACATAATCTGTATTATATTATTATGCATGAGTCATGACGAGCGGTACCAAAACACAGTGTGTGACGACATTATCTCAATATTTTATAATTCACACAAGCACACACACATACTTAATAAGTCAACACACACACCCCACTGGGCAACACACACACCCCACCGTTAGCAAGTAATTAACGGCTTTTGGGCCCCCAAAAAAGAAAAGACGATAAATTAAATTGTAGAATTGAAGCAAAACAAATTGTCTGGGAGATGCTGTCTATCATAGGCTACACACCAATTTCACGCTCCACCATTCTCTCACTCTTTGCATGCATGTGCACACCAGCGCTCCAACTGACTCCGACAGTTGAACTTGAGGTGAGGGAAAATGTTTTAGGCCTAACAGAGTTACTCCTATAATCAAACAATATAATACTTATCTTTATAAAAAACATTTGGATCAGAAATGTATGAATAAGCTTCCTTCTGTACGCCTATATCTGTCTAGCAGACATAGTGATAAATGCATGTTGATGTCGTAGCATGCTTCCAGCATATCTCTATCTCTCTCTCTGTCTCTCTGGGGCTAGGCCTAAGCTTCTCTTCCTTTATATCATTTTTTCTAATATTAATATCATACAGTGGACGCAAATGCATGCAATGGTCTGATGCATTTAGTGCTCAAATCGCCGACAACTGAACCGTGAAGTGGACAATTATTGTTTTAGGAAAGTAAAAACCGATAAAGCAAGGGGCTATAAAGTTTTGCATATGCTACACATCGAAACACAAGGAATAGTGTTTTTGTAGCCCCAGAGAAAAAGCAAGTGTGCCATCATTAGAATTGAAAAATGAGTATAGGCTGTTTTTAAGGACACGTAGCTTAAATGTGGCTCATTTGGCCAATATCCCTCGTTTATTGATGCTGCTGCCTGCACCAGGTCGGAGGTTTCGTTCTCTCTCTCTTTCTACTCTCGGATCTGAATGCACATGGATGTCCGGTAAATTGCTCAAATGTCCAGAAATTAACATCTTTCCAGTCACGTTGTCTGGTGCAAAATCTTCCTGACGGAAACCCTGGCACAGACGTCAATTCAATGTCTATTCCACATTGGTTCAACGTAATTTTGTTTAAATGACGTGGAAACAACGTTGATTCAACCAGTGTGTGCCCAGTGAGACAGGTTTAGCACAAACAGCACTGTCTTCCCATTTTAACCACTACACACTCTCTGGCTCTATTCCTGTGGCTCTGAAACTCCTTCAGTAGCTGTGTCCCATATTCCCTTTCTAGTCAATTTCTTTTGACCAGAGCCCTATGGGCCCTGGTCTAAAGTAGTGCACTATATTAGGAAAAGGGTGCCATTTGGGATGCAGTGACGCAGACTCTATTTTCATAAGTGACATTGTGAGTTTAGGAACGGAGCGGCCATTCAGCTTTCAAGATTAACGGTGGGATAGAGCATGGTGATGGATTGGGATGTCAACCCCATTTGTTCACTTTGCATTCTCTCTGAGTCTCCTAACTGTCCAGCCAAGTGAATTTAAACAGCTCTTTAATATTTATGCCGATGAAATATGGCAATACTAGGTCATCGTCAGAATGTGTATGTATTTATTCCTGTGAGGTGATATCATTGTGATAGCATTGTTCTCCAAACGCTGACGAAGGCTGACGCCGAAACGTGTCCATTTGTTCTGACATCTGCTGCTAAGAAAATACATTAAAACGTAAAGAGTTTTTCCCTCCTTCAAGTAATAGCATCAACCATTTGGTTATGAAAAGCTATTTATTGCATTAGCTACAGTGTACATACTTGTTTTCTGTGGCAAAGTTGTCCAAAATAGTTAGCGCTGTGGTTTCCAGCTGGCTTTGTGTGGATACGCACGCCATCAAGTTTCCCACCAACCTGCAGTGGTGTGAGAAAGACAAATATTTTCTAATTCACACATTAACACTTTTCTTTAAGCCAAGACAATTATCCAACTTACTATGTCATTGTTTTACTGATTAAATAAGATAGATTACACAATATGAATAGCAGGCACCGACAAGTGCAGCATGAGGACTGATGTGAGACTAAATATAGCAATAGAATATCAACATGTTTTCAATTTCCACAGTACACAAGGGGTAAACTACTAAATTAAATGTGTACTGTTAATAGCGCACACATTTTTTTTGCCATCCTACAACAACGCTTTCCCCCCATAGTTTGCTATTTAATTTCCCTAAGCTCTGAGTGGAAAGCTCTATCTGCTGTCTGAAAGAGCTGAATGAGGAGAAGGCAGGTAGGTTTGATTTGATAATAGTGTGTGGTTCTTGTCAGCCAAAACACGCAATTACCAATAGGGATCTGATCGCTTACATGTGCAAATTCAGGTTCTCAATGGCCAAGCGTCTTCCATGTGGAGTTTGGGAGTACAAAGACAGAAACGCCAGGCATTCTTTCCGCACCGCCGCCATTCCTGATGCTAATAAGTCAACAATGTACTCTTTGGAGGCTGGGCATCTCATCAGCATCTTCTGGTTTTCATCTGAAAGCAAGCAGCCCAGGAGAATAAATACTTTCAGCAACAGGGACAGTTCCAGTGACAGATTGAATTTAATCATACATTGCATGCACTTTGAATCGATTTTGAATGCTATTTGTCAGGGGGTGATTGTAGGCCTACTTTAAATGCAATAGCAACAATATAATTGCACTTGCCTCGTTAATTGCCTGATTTTTTACATCAAATGCATTTCCCCTATTTTGACATTGGCATAACAGGTTTTGGACAGCAGTATAATTGATTTGTCACCGTTTGGGAGAAGAAGGAGGAATTATTTTCTCTTGGTAACAAGTGTTCATGAATTTTGATGTGGTAAAAGGGGCAGTCTGGGATTCAAACAACAACGAAATGGTCACCCCAAATGGTAGTTTTAACCATGTTTTGAAGCTTCAAGGTGTGTGTTTACAATTACATTGTTTACAAACAATGGAGTAAAACAAGGTTATATTTCGTGGGTTCTGCAAGACCAATCCCAGATTGCCCCTTAAGCACACATTGCTTGTGTAACTACAGAACAAGTGGGCACTTAATAAGGAGATGGCAAAAAAGCATGACAGGCAGAATAATGTGAAAACAATGGCATAATTTAAGACGTTTGGCATTTCATGCATTTTTTTCCTCACAATTTCTCTTGACACAAAAAAAAGAGGAGGAAATATCACTCCAATGTCTGTCTACAAACCATTTCCATCGCAAATCACCCTCCACAATTTCAGTACGGACATACATAGCTCCTCTGCGCCTGGCGCTGTCGATTTCTGCAACAGGCAACTGAAAATAAGGAAACCCAATTGTGTTCTTTATGAGTATGGCATATTTTTCTCATTACTTTGTGCTGAAAACTTGAACCACTTTCCTGACAATCTGTGCTGGTCTGAAATATGACCACAAGTCCACAATGCTACACAAGAACAATTGCCTGACGACTTTAGGTTAATAATACCCTTACTAACTTCACATGAGGGAGTTGTGATTAGTGTCTCACCCTACATAACACCTACTATATACATGGGGCACAGCACATTACAGGTTAATCCAAATCTCTAAAGGAGCTCATTCTATTTTGGAAATATTTAACTAGCAACTAACAGAGAGCGAGTAACTTTGAAAGACACATCTCTTTTGTTTGAAAAACTTTTTGGGTCCATGGTTTACTCTGACTGTCCTTAACTCCCTTTCAGTGTTAGTCAGTCAGTCAGGGGCATCTCTCGAGTCTCCTTACCTTCTTACGGTGTCATTGGTTTGGATGATACTGAAGCCATTGTTTAATCGGAACAGCGTCTGGCCAGTGCCTGTTAGGAAGAGCAGATAACGTCAGGACTCGGGAGGCCTCTCCTTACCTCAGTGAGCCCCATACATCATCACAGTGCGCCCGTGGCCAGGCTTCAGAAACACAATGCCTGGCGGTCAAGGGCAGGAGAGAGTGGAATAAATAAAAGTCATCCAGAGCCAAAGGTCCTCCACTATTTCTCTCATAAAGATGGTGAGACCGGGCTTGTGTGCAGAGAACATGTAGGAGAAGAGGGAAAAAAAGATCTGCCGAGGTGATTTGGTGGCGATAATGTCAGGCAGGCCTTTTCTACACTCTTAGAGATGTTCAACTGGGAATTATGTTACTTTTGCCCTTTCATTGAATGACATTGTAAGACAGTCAGTCTTACAAGCAGTCGATCATCTGACAGGTTGTATTCATCCATATGACAAGGGAAGTGAAAACCCAGACTGGAAATGTTAGGTAGCAGTCTACCATTGATATCATTGATTATTGTCATTGATGGTATTGTAGTTTGTTCTAATTGATACCGGCAGTTCACACATATCATGTACATTTAACATTATAGTGGGAACATGTGTGCACCTTAAAGGCCCAGTGCACTCAAAAATCAGTTTTTCCTGTGTTTTGTATTATAATGTACAACAGCTGATGAAACCAACACTGTAAAAGTGTGAAAAAATTTGATCAGTGTTATTTCCTGCTGGTTGAAAATACAATGTACACAGGACCTTCTAATCAGCCTGTTTGCATGGGCGGGAGTTTCGGCTTGCCTGGTGACATCACCAGGCAGTAAATTGGTTATACAGAGCTCCAAACCTCGCTGCCAATAACAGTTCGTTTTAAGTTTTCCCCTCCCCAATCAGAACACTCCCAGACAGTCCTAGCAAAACTCTTGCTTGAGAAATAGTGTTTTGCTAAAAAGCAATTTTGGTCAAATTTAATGGAAAACTATTACAGTAAGGTACTTCATTGTTACCCAGAAATGATTTGACCTTGATATAAAAACGGCTGCATTGGGCCTTTAAATTATGTCAAATGGGAAAAATCTGTGACAACTAAAATGTCAAATTATTCAACATAAAAGCTTGTATACACTAGCTACTCTACAGCACTACAAATTCTAGCATAAATCATCCAGTACTGTCCCTCTGCATTCTACACAATCTGAGGTGTTGGTAATAGAACAGCTCCCAAATGGATGTTTGGATTGTAAACACATATTTATCATTGCACTTCCGTGTGTCCTTTCCTCTGCCTACCTAGCGCCTCAGCTGGGCAATATTGGGCAGTTAGCTGAACTGTGACAAACAAAATGAACCATGAAGAGAAATCAATACTGCAGAGGGGTCAGGTCAGGTCTTCCCTTCTGTATTTTATTTTCAGAGGATTACAAATTGACCATAACCACAACAACAAACATTAGGTCTTTGCAGTGATTTGATCTCCACTGAGTTTCAAGTTTCTTCAGTAAAAGTAGATGAACTGCATTTTTCTGAGTCGAACCATGAATAAGAGAAACCCACCTATCAACGCTGTCCTCCCTTGACCTGAAGGAGCATCCATTGACATCCATTTGGCCCACAGGATAGGATGAGGAGGGTTGGGGAAGCGAAGCGAGAAATAGCATTCCCACACACTCTCACTCACACAGGATTTGGAGGGATGGGGAAACTCCCAACAGAGTACTCACAGTCTGTAATGGCGTGTGACAGAAGCTTGAGCCCTCCGCAGTAGTATAACGGGAACTGATTGGGTCTGTCCAGCTTTTTCAACAGTTGAAGCACTGTCGTGGCCTTTTCTTCTTCCTTATCAAACTCCTCCCACGCTTTGCTTTCCTGGCATTCTCTTTCTTCCTCAAAATCCACTTGGGTCAGATAATCTTGACGAAGAAAAGAGAAAACATGGGCTCAGAGACAGATGGCTTCTGGGGAGCCTAGTATGGGGTAACCTCATTGCGGTGGATCAAAGGAATGTAGGACAGTATGACGACCGTGTTTAATAATATGCATTCATATGTTGTAAATAGCATCATATGCTATAAACAGCTAGTAGGGCCACAGATTAGAAAGGAAACATATGATCATATGTTGTAAATAGCATCATATGCTATAAACAGCTAGTAGGGCCACAGATTAGAAAGGAAACATATGATCATATGTTGTAAATAGCATCATATGCTATAAACAGCTAGTAGGGCCACAGATTAGAAAGGAAACCTATGATCATATGTTGTAAATAGCATCATATGCTATAAACAGCTAGTAGGGCCACAGATTAGAAAGGAAACATATGATCATATGTTGTAAATAGCATCATATGCTATAAACAGCTAGTAGGGCCACAGATTAGAAAGGAAACATATGATCATATGTTGTAAATAGCATCATATGCTATAAACAGCTAGTAGGGCCACAGATTAGAAAGGAAACATACGTAAATAAATGAGGGTGCCTAACAGACCTCTCTGCTGAGAGGGGATGAATTGGTGGCAAGATGGTGGGATGTGATCAGGAGTCAGGACAACATCAAAATCTGAATTTTGGCTAAGGGATAAGTCGGTTTCTATACTATGTATTATGAGTACATAAAAAAGCAGTAATTTCTGATTAATCATCCCTGAAGATGGTGCGTTAGCCTAGGCCCTAGGGTTCCCCTACTGGCGGAGATATTATTTGGGCTGCCAAGTTTTCAGAGCAAAAAAATTATTACGCCTGCAGCTGAGTCTAGTTGATGATCCTTGCCCTATGGTTACATGGGTCATATATAACCCCTTACATTGTATGACTTTGTTGAGTTTGTTCATAAATGATTTGTGAGGCATCTATGTAGTGTTTATGGAGATGTTATGAATGCTCTATAAAGCCTTTATAAATTGTAGTTTGTTTAAGTGGGACCATGAGCGAATCTGATTAATAGACTTCACTAGCCAACCAAACTTTTCAGCGTTTTATATTGCCTTACCTTTGACCATCTTTTCCCGTCCTGGCTCAATTTCCAGTATCTTTTGATAGCACATTCGCGACTGTAAAATAGAGATATGTAAATTACGTTTCCTACAGCTCCCTTTGGTCATGCGATAGGATGATGCACTCTACTAATCTCACCCAGAGCCATAGATCAATATATGGGACTCTGGTCTCACTAATACACACAGACAGAGAGTAAGCAGAAATTTTGAAACCATTTAAGAAAGACATGCAGTCACTTTGTATTTTAAATATTGTATTAAGCAGAATGCCTGCAAGAATCTATTTGCTAAAGGAAGGATAAGCTTAAAAAGTTGCAAAATCTGCATTTTAGGAGATCAATATAAAGTTTGAGGCAGATAGGCATCCAGAGTGACTGAATATAGTTGTAGGCCGTTTTCTTTACAATGCAGTTAGATATGGTTAAAATGAAATGGAATGATGCCCACCTCGTTATAATTCTTGAGTGCCAGGTGTGCTTTCCCCATGTGATAATATGCTTTAACACACTTCTCATTACACTGTAAATAAATAATATGAGCAAGAGAATCATACGTCACACGTCAACTGAATATATAATCTGCAATATGGACATTACACAAAAATGGACCAAAACATTTTCAATTGCAAATTTACTCAAGCATCAAGGTGTTCTGAATACGGTACTCCCTTGAATTAGGCCAAACCCATTGTCCAGTTAGTTTGTATGTTTTTCTAAATAGATAGTTCTGAAAGGTGAGCACTGATTTTTTATACTGCTTTTATTACCGATTCTAAGGGGTATATGCAGGACTCCAACCAACGTTCCTCCCCTCTCTACACCACTTATAGTTCATTACTGTCAGTGAGCACTGTCCTCTACACTGCATGGTCTGTTCTGTGCTCCCAGGTCAGTACAGGATCACAAGTGCACTGCCTGGCATGGCGTTATGAAGAACGAGGGAGCAAGTGATTGACCCAAAGTTCCTAGTCAACCTTACCTTTAGAGCCCACTCACAGTCACTTATGGCCTCCTTATATTTCTCCAGTTTGATATAGGACTGCAGAGGAAAAAGTGGACAGATACTGTTCAACATACTGTTTTTAAAAGGGAAGAGTTAAGTAAAGTGATGCAAAGCTGAAATGAAGCTGAGGAGAGTACTTGTGCTCTGTTGGTATAAAGCGGCTGCATGTCTCGTCGCTCGTCTAAACCGTCGCTGTAAAGCTTCACAGCAGTCTCGTATTCTCCCTGGGCGTATGCTACGTTCCCCTTTTCTTTGAGGGCTGAGGGAATAAGGACATAAACAAATACAGTGTCAGGTTAAAAAGAGCTGAATTAAGAGAGACCCTAATTAGGAAATTGCAAGAACTAATCCATGCTAGAGAAATGACTTCATACACACCATTTGCTTTTTCCTGTTTCATTTGTCTCCTTTTATGTCTGTCCTCTGCATCGTTTTCCATAATTTTCATGAAATTATCTAGAGAATTAAGGAGAATATGAAACAATATTCTTAAACAAGTGTTTTACATGGAATGTAAACTCTACATTTCTAAACGGTGAAATTAGATATTGCATTAATGAGAAGAACATTTGTGGGTCATTAGTGGTCAGCTGGTCACATAGTAGTTCATTCATGGAGTTGAACTTTTCACTAAATTATGTTAAATATGATGGGAATCCTATGGGATTTGACTCTATTCCACTACCCGAGTACAGTACCTGTACAGATATTCAATTTTACACTAGGCACAGAAGAGGACCATGTTAGAAGTAGAACCAATTGAAATTCATTGCAATTGAAATGGGACTACAGTACATCGTTTTCACAGGGGGGATTTTGAGAGCACTAATTGGATTGTGAAAGATACATTATTTGGAAACATAAACACAGGCACAGAATGAGTTCGAGGAAAAACAAAAAGAACTAGAGGAACTTTTTCAAGAAAGATCAAGTGTAATATACAGTGGGGAGAACAAGTATTTGATACACTGCCGATTTTGCAGGTTTTCCTACTTACAAAGCATGTAGATGTCTGTAATTTTTATCATAGGTACACTTCAACTGTGAGAGACGGAATCTAAAACAAAAATCCAGAAAATCACATTGTATGATTTTTAAGTAATTCATTTGCATTTTATTGCATGACATAAGTATTTGATACATCAGAAAAGCAGAACTTAATATTTGGTACAGAAACCGTTGTTTGCAATTACAGAGATCATACGTTTCCTGTAGGTCTTGACCAGGTTTGCACACACTGCAGCAGGGATTTTGGCCCACTCCTCCATACAGACCTTCTCCAGATCCTTCAGGTTTCGGGGCTGTCGCTGGGCAATACAGACTTTCAGCTCCCTCCAAAGATTTTCTATTGGGTTCAGGTCTGGAGACTGGCTAGGCCCCATCCATCCTCCCCTCAATACGGTGCAGTCGCCCTGTCCCCTTTGCAGAAAAGCATCCCCAAAGAATGATGCTTCCACCTCCATGCTTCACAGTTGGGATGGTGTTCTTGGGGTTGTACTCATCCTTCTTCTTCTTCCAAACGCGGCGAGTGGAGTTTAGACCAAAAAGCTCTATTTTTGTCTCATCAGACCACATGACCTTCTCCCATTCCTTCTCTGGATCATCCAGATGGTCATTGGCAAACTTCAGACGGGCCTGGACACGCACTGGCTTGAGCAGGGGGACCTTGCGTGCGCTGCAGGATTTTTATCCATGACGGCGTAGTGTGTTACTAATGGTTTTCTTTGAGACTGTAGTCCCAGCTCTCTTCAGGTCATTGACCAGGTCCTGCCGTGTAGTTCTGGGCTGATCCCTCACCTTCCTCATGATCATTGATGCCCCACGAGGTGAGATCTTGCATGGAGCCCCAGACCGAGGATGATTGACCGTCATCTTGAACTTCTTCCATTTTCTAATAATTGCGCCAACAGTTGTTGCCTTCTCATCAAGCTGTTTGCCTATTGTCCTGTAGCCCATCCCAGCCTTGTGCAGGTCTACAATTTTATCCCTGATGTTCTTACACAGCTCTCTGGTCTTGGCCATTGTGGAGAGGTTGGAGTCTGTTTGATTGAATGTGTGGACAGGTGTCTTGTATACAGATAACGAGTTCAAACAGGTGCAGTTAATACAGGTAATGAGTGGAGAACAGGAGGGCTTCTTAAAGAAAAACTAACAGGTCTGTGAGAGCCGGAATTCTTACTGGTTGGTAGGTGATCAAATACTTATGTCATGCAATAAAATGCAAATTAATTACTTAAAAATCATACAATGTGATTTTCTGGATTTTTGTTTTAGATTCCATCTCTCACAGTTGAAGTGTACCTATGACAATAATTACAGACCTCTACATGCTTTGTAAGTAGGAAAACCTGCAAAATCGGCAGTGTATCAAATACTTGTTCTCCCCACTGTATTATAAAAATAAAGCGAACTGGATGGAATATGGGGGAAAATGCATCAAATAATGTTTTTATCCTCAACAGAGAAATGCTACCAGAAATTATTTACAGACACTTTTTACAAATGACAGAGTCATCCATGATTCACCAAACAATATTTTGAAAGAGGAAGCAAAGTACTTTATGCTTATGTTTTCGTTTCAGTCTCCTTCATCACCACTAACTGAAGTTAATTGTAAGGATTTTTTTCTATTAATAGTGTAAAATTAACAGCTGTACAGAAAGACTAATGTGAAGGCCAAATTACAGAGGAGGAACTTCTTGATGCAATTAAAGCCTTTAAATCTGGGAATACTCCAGGGCTGGATGGCATACAAGTTGAGGTATACCAAACCTTTCTTGATGTACTCAGAGGTCCGTTATTAACATGTTTTAACCACTCCTATAAAAATGGTAGACTATCAGATACTCAGCAAGAAGGTCTGATATCACTATTACTGAAACAAGACCCAGGTGGTAAATATAAAGATCCAGTCCACCTAAAAAACTGGAGGCCCCTTACACTTCAGTGTTGTGATGCCAAAATTCTAGCAAAATGCATAGCATATAGAATTAAAAAGGTATTGTCGGATATTATTCATCCTAATCAGACAGCGTTTTTACATGGACGATACACTGGAGATAATATAAGACAAGTACTGGGAACAATAGAACACTATGAAAAATCTGGGAAACCGGGCCTGGTATTAATAGCTGATTTTGAAAAGGCCTTTGATAAAGTAGACTAGAATGTATATATAAATACCTGGACTATTTTAATTTAGGAGAATCTCTTATACAATGAGTTAAAGTTATGTATAGTAACCCCAGGTGTAAAATAGCAAATAATGGCTACTTCTCAGAAAGTAATAAACTGTCAAGAGGAGTGAAACAAGGTTGTCTACTATTGGCATATGTATTTATTATGGCCATCGAAATGTTAGCTATGAAAATTAGATCCAACAATTTCAAGGGGCTAGAAATCCAGGGCTTAAAAACAAAGGTGTCATTGTACGCTGACGACTCATGTTTTCTTTTAAATCTGCAATTTGTATCCCTGCACAGCCTCATAGAAGATCTAGGTAATTTCTCTAACCTCTCTGGATTACAACCAAACTATGATAAGTGTACCATATTATGTAAAGGATCGCAAAAAAATATAACTTTTACATTACCATGTATTTTACCATTAAAATGGTCTGACGGTGAAGTGGACATAATCTGTATTCATATTCCCGAAAGAAAGAAAAGATCTCACAACAATTCATTTTTAAGAAAGTTAGCAAAAATAGATAAGATCTTGCTACCATGGAAAGTTTTTTTTTTTTAATGACCCTGATTAATTCATTAGTCATATCCCAGTTTACCTATTTACTTATGGCCCTGTCTACACTGAATTACTTGTTTTTAGAATTATATGAGCAAAATATATTCCACTTTATTTGGAACGGCAAGCCAGACAAACTTTTAACCGGACTATTTATATAATGAATATGAATTCGGAGAGCTGAAATTATTAAATATTCAAGAATGTAACCTCTCACTAAAGGCTTCAGTCATACAAAAGTTGTATTTAAATTAGTAAGAATGGCTCACCCAGTGTAAAAAAAGAAAGCCCTTTTTCCTTTATTCAGATTACAACCTCTCACTTTCAGTTATTACAACAAATATTATGGTTAAACTCAAATATACTAATTGATAAAAATGTTTAAAAAATCTATAATCTTTGTTAATGATATCATAAATAGGACTGATGGGGTTATGTCACACATTCAGCTAACAAAAATATATGGAAATGTCTGCTCTATCCCAAAATACAACCAACTGATTGCAGCATTACCGTGAAAATGAAAGAGGCAAGTTGAAGGGGGAGAAGGTAAGGAACCTGTCTGTCGGCCCTACATTAAAGACCAAAATTGGTTTAAAAAAATTGTGATAAATAAAAAAGTATACCAGTTTCATTTAAGGACCAAGAAGTGGACAGCTGCGCCATACAGGTTGCAAAATATAGTGTCTTGCAAAAGTATTATTCCCCCTTGCCGTTTATCCTATTTTGTTGCATTACAACCTGTAATTTAAATGGATTTTTATTTGGATTTCATGTAATGGACATACACAAAATAGTCCAAATTGGTGAAGTGAAATGAAAAAAATAACTTGTTTCAGAAATTTCAAAAGAAATACATAAAGGAAAAGTGGTGCATGCATATGTATTCACCTCCTTTGCTATGAAGCCCCTAAATAAGATCTGGTGCAACCAATTACTTTCAGAAGTCACATAACTAGTTAAATAAAGTCCACCTGTGTCCATACTGTACACATGTTCTGAAAGGCCCCAGAGTTTCCAACACCACTAAGCAAGGGGCACCACCAAGCAAGCGGCACCATGAAGACCAAGGAGCTCTCCAAACAGGTCAGGGACAAAGTTGTGGAGAAGTACAGATCAGGGTTGGGTTATAAAAAATATCAAAAACTTTGAACATCCCACGGAGCACCATTAAATCCATTATAAAAAAATTGAAATAATATGGCACCACAACAAACCGGCCAAGAGAGGGCCACTCACCAAAACTCACGGACCAGGCAAGGAAGGCATTAATCAGATAGGCAACAAAAAGACCAAAGATAACCCTGAAGGAGCTGCAAAGCTCCACAGCAGAGATTGGAGTATCTGTCCATAGGACCACTTTAAGCCGTACACTCCACAGAGCTGGGCTTTACGGAAGAGTGGCCAGAAAAAAGCCATTGCTTTGTGTTCGCCAAAAGGCATGTCGGAGACTCCCCAAACATATGGAAGAAGGTACTCTGGTCAGATGAAACTAAAATTAAGCTTTTTGGCCATCAAGGAAAACGCTATGTCTGGTGCAAACCCAACACCTCTCATCACCCCGAGAACACCATCGGCAGGGACTGGGAAACTGGTCAGAATTGAAGGAATGATGGATGGCGCTAAATACAGGGAGATTCTAAGAGGGAAACCTGTTTCAGTCTTCCAGAGATTTGAGACTGAGACGGAGGTTCACCTGGTGGTTTAAGGGGAAACATATACAGTGGGGAGAACAAGTATTTGATACACTGCCGATTTTGCAGGTTTTCCTACTTACAAAGCATGTAGAGGTCTGTAATTTTTATCATAGGGACACTTCAACTGTGAAAAAAAATCCAGAAAATCACATTGTATGGTTTTTAAGTAATTAATTTGCTTTCTATTGCATGACATAAGTATTTGATCACCTACCAACCAGTAAGAATTCCGGCTCTCACAGACCTGTTAGTTTTTCTTTAAGAAGCCCTCCTGTTCTCCACTCATTACCTGTATTAACTGCACCTGTTTGAACTCATTACCTGTATAAAAGACACCTGTCCACACACTCAATCAAACAGACTCCAAACTCTCCACAATGGCCAAGACCAGAGAGCTGTGTAAGGACATCGGGATAAAATTGTAGACCTGCACAAGGCTGTGATGGGCTACAGGACAATAGGCAAGCAGCTTGGTGAGAAGGCAACAACTGTTGGCACAATTATTAGAAAATGGAAGAAGTTCAAGATGACGCTCAATCACCCTCGGTCTGGGGCTCCATGCAAGATCTCACCTCGTGGGGCATCAATGATCATGAGGAAGGTGAGGGATCAGCCCAGAACTACACGGCAGGACCTGGTCAATGACCTGAAGAGAGCTGGGACCACAGTCTCAAAGAAAACCATTAGTAACACACTATGCCGTCATGGATTAAAATCCTGCAGCGCACGCAAGGTCCCCCTGCTCAAGCCAGCGCATGTCCAGGCCTGTCTGAAGTTTGCCAATGACCATCTGGATGATCCAGAGGAGGAATGGGAGAAGGTAATGTGGTCTGATGAGACAAAAATAGAGCTTTTTGGTCTAAACTCCACTCGCCGGGTTTGGAGGAAGAAGAAGGATGAGTACAACCCCAAGAACACCATCCCAACCGTGAAGCATGGAGGTGGAAACATCATTCTTTGGGGATGTTTTTCTGCAAAGGGGACAGGACGACTGCACCGTATTGAGGGAAGGATGGATGGGGCCATGTATCGCGAGATCTTGGCCAACAACCTCCTTCCCTCAGTAAGATCATTGAAGATGGGTCGTGGCTGGGTCTTCCAGCATGACAATGACCCGAAACACACAGCCAGGGCAACTAAGGAGTGGCTCCGTAAGAAGCATCTCAAGGTCCTGGAGTGGCCTAGCCAGTCTCCAGACCTGAACCCAATAGAAAGTCTTTGGAGGGAGCTGAAAGTCTGTATTGCCCAGCGACAGCCCCGAAACCTGAAGGATCTGGAGAAGGTCTGTATGGAGGAGTGGGCCAAAATCCCTGCTGCAGTGTGTGCAAACCTGGTCAAGACCTACAGGAAACGTATGATCTCTGTAATTGCAAACAAAGGTTTCTGTACCAAATATTAAGTTCTGCTTTTCTGATGTATCAAATACTTATGTCATGCAATAAAATGCAAATTAATTACTTAAAAATCATACAATGTGATTTTCTGGATTTTTGTTTTAGATTCCGTCTCTCACAGTTGAAGTGCACCTATGATACAACATATTACAGACCTCTACATGCATTTTAATTCCAGGTTGTAAGGCAACAAAATAGGAAAAATGCCAAGGTGGGTGAATACTTTTGCAAGCCACTGTAATTGGGGAAGAGATTTTTGATGTGCCGATTCCATGGTTTGTGAACTGATCCAATTAAAATTATTATACAAAATTCTTGCAACCAATAGTATGTTATGTATATGGAGGATACAACCATCCCAGATCTGCAGATTTTGCTGCTAAGAGACAGAATCATTAAATCAATTGTTTTGGTACTTCCCATATGTAGTTTGATTTTGGTCATAGGTTCAGGAATTGCTGAAGAATTGCAACATTTACCTGGAGCTAACTCTGCAAATTGCACAAGTATAATAATACTCTTTGTAAAATTACAGCACATTTGTTTTCAGAGATATATGGGAGAGGTTCAGAGTAGCTGAAGGGTGGGACTAAAAACAAATAAAAAAAGATAACTACTGTAAACTATACCATGTCCGTAAAATTTATATAGTATGTAGTTTACTCCAATTATGGGAGGGGTGGTAGGGTTCGGGGAAAATAATAAAGAAGGAAAAAATATGTTTTTTTAAACATATGAGGGTTGGAAATGATGCAGACAATTACATTGATAGAACCCACAATATATATGCAATATTAAAGCTAATCTACCTCCTCTAAGAAAAAGAAAATACAATTAAAAAATAAAACACAGGGATCGACTGTTACCGGAACTTGATAGGCTGATCTTGGTAATCCAGTTAAGGGTATTGACATCCATAGGCTATTGAATTGGAATTTAACTGTGTGGTGCAATTTACTATATTTGAATTGTATTTATTCTGAGTAAAGCTGATTGATGTTTAGGGATAGTGCAATTAAAGGTGGAGTTGCAGATTAAATAGACAGAGTGCTCTGGGCAGTATGATGTAGTACCATGTAAGCACTTAAAGGGGCAATCTGCAGTTCCAAGAACAACAAAGCAGGCATCCCGCCAGTGTTTTGGTAAACAGCTGAGGGATGGGGCTGGAGAAATGTAAACACTCTCAAATTCATAGACAGAGCTATGGATTCAAGGACTGACTGACCAACCATGAGATCAAAATTATAGTTTTAACCATGTTTTGAGGCTATACAGTGTTTCATTACAATTACATTGTTTAAAAATTGCAGATGGCCCCTTTAAAGGGACAAATCCTAACTTGAGATAAATGTACTGTATACAGAGCCAGACACTACCCAAACTTTTTGTGTTTGATTTATGCAAATGTAAAGGACGTCACGCTGCTTACTTAGCTAGTACCGCTTCCTCCTGATTCGGCTCATACCGAGGCTTGAACCCATGACATCTGCCTCGCAAACACGCGCCACCGCCCTCCTGAAGCGTCTTACCCAGTCGCGCTACCGAAAAGCTAGCTATTCGTCAACGCAAGTGGAGACACTCGCTGAGAAGCGAGTTTCAATGATCCCGATCTGCTACACATCTTGAGTACCATGCTCAAATTAAGTTGTTCCTAAATTATTTCTTATATAGTTGTCCCAAACCTTATAATCTCATCATACAGCAAAAGAGACCCATTTTAGCTTCACACACCTGCACTTGAACTGGGATAATTCTGTGAACCCTGTAAAAAAAGAATAGAAAACAAATATTCAAAAACATGTTTCTGCAGCATGACATCAAATTACTTACCTGTACCTTCTAAGAAAAAAAAAATCTAATTAGCCAAATGAAAGGATGCTAAAATGTACCTGCCGTTATAGACAATGCACACACATCCAACCTATTACAGACCACAGGAAAGATTGCTAGTAGATTGGGATTCAATCTGAAAAGTCATTATGTGCTTGCTTTGTGCAGAGAGAGACTCAATATTAAGCTGTTACCGTCGGTGCAGGCGCCCGTTGTGAGGGATTGGTGTTTATCACTGTCCTGTTGAGGAGTGTTTTGCATGGTTCCTCCTTCTCCTTCAAGGCAGCTATGTAGCAATCAGCCTTTTCTACAGCTCTCTGCTGAGACGTTACATCAGAGGAGTTCAGTTCCTTGACCAGGTCGCCTGGATAAGAACATCACAGATTACATCGAGTAATTAAAGAGATTAAATCAAATCTAATTTTATATGTCACATGCGCCGAATAAAACGGGTGTAGTCTTTACAGTGAAATGCTTGCTTACGAGCCCTTCCCAACGATGCAGAGGTAAAAAATAATAATAAATAATAATAATAATAACACAAGAGGAATAAAACACAGAAGAATGAAGCTACAGTATATACAGGGAGTAGCGGTACCAGATCAATGTGCAGGGGTACAAGGTAATTGAGGTATATATTTACATGAAGGCAGGGTAAAGTGACTAGGCATAAGGATATATAATAATAAGAGTAAAATAAAGAACAGAGTAGCAGCAGCATATAATGAGCGTAAAAGTGTGTGTGTGTGTGTGTGTGTGTGTGTTGTCGTTATGCGTGTGTGTGTTATGTACAGTACCAGTCAAAAGTTTGGACACACCTACTCATTCAAGGGTTTACTTGAATGACAAGAGTGTGCAAATCTATCATCAAGGCAAAGGGTGGCTATTTCAAGAATCTCAAATATAACATATATTTTGATTTGTTTAACACTCTTTTGGTTACTACATGATTCCATATGTGTTATTTCATAGTTTTGATGTCTTCACTATTATTCTACAATGTAAAAAATAGTAAAAATAAAGAAAAACCCTTGAATGAGTAGATGTTTTCAAACCATTGACTGTACTGTGTGTGTGTGTGTACGTATGTAATGTATGTGAATGTGTGGGGCTTTTGTGTGAGAGTGTCAGTGTAGTGTGAGTGTGTAATGTGTATGTATAGTCTTGTGAGTCAGTGCAAGATAGGGTCAGTGCAGATAGAACAGGTAACCATTTAATTAACTATTTAGCAGTCTTATGGCTATGGGGTAGAAGCTGACTCAGAGCCTGTTGGACCGAGAGCTGATGTTGTGCTACCGTTTGCCGGACAGTAGCAGAATTAACAATTTATGGCTTGGGTGGCTCGAGTCTTTGGCAATTTTTACATCGCGCTCAGCCCCAGTGATGTACGGGGCTGTCCGCACCACCCTCTGTAGCGCTTTGCGGTCAAGCAAGATGCATTTGCCATACCAAGCGGTGATGCAGTCAGTCAAGATGCTCTCGATGGAACAGCTGTAGAACCTTTTGAGGATCCAAGGGCCCATGCTAAATCTTTTCAGCCTCCTGAGGGGGAAGAGGCGCTGTCGTGCCGTCCGGCAGCCTTGCTTGTTTAAAACATTTACATTTTGGTTTCCTTACCCTGTAAGCAGTCAGACAAGGTAAGATATTCTGCATATACTGCTTACAGGGTAAGGAAACCAGTGACATTTTGTAATTTGGGTGAAATATCCCATTAAAGATGTGTTGACTTTGTCACTCCTCTGGAAATAACTGTGACCTGCTTTATTCAGTTAGTACTACTCCCATAGTCACTGTTATTGTCTGAATTTATACAGGAACACCTTAGGTCTTTCTTGGTAAAGTTTAAGGTTGGAGCCTGGTAGGGGTCTTTAAGGTAGGGGTCTTTCCATTTAATTTCAATCACTTTCTGACCGCACCCTTTTTGAATTGAACAAAACTTTCCATACATATTTGCCCATGGTAAAAGTGGTCAGAAAGTGACTTTTTGGACCTGAATGCCAAAATTTTCAGAAGGGACCAAAGTTGACCCATTTTGCATACCCCACCATACCATGAGACATTCATGTCTTCATCACTGAAAAAGATAAACAGTTGAGTATTTGATAATTTCTTGAATTGTATAATTTTTTTCTAAAAACGTTTTTATTTTTTTATTTTACATTTAACGTCAATTCTCTAAAAACGCGGAAACTCTGATAATTGTTTTCTCGCATACGTTGTAGCTTAGACCCTATTTTACATCATCTGTATTCAAGAGTATGCTGTGTCTCAACTGATGGTGGGCACAACACATACACTTCAGATTATGTAAATTAGGGTCTAAACTACAACATATGCGAAAATGGAGAGAAAAAAAATAAGTTTACATGGCTAATAACATCATTTTTATAAAAAACTTTTTTTCTAGAAATTATTACATTGTTTGACAACCCAGTTTGTAAGCTTTTAACTGATATAAAAAAATTCTACTGTTAATCTTTTCCAATGATGAAGACATCATGAATGTCTCATGGTATGGTGCTGATGGTGGGTTATTCAAAATGGGTCAAGTTTGAGCACCACTTCTACCATTTGAACGTTTCGTTCAAATCTAAAGGGGTGCTCCCAAAAAGTGATTGAAATCAAATGGTTCGATCCATAGATAGGCTAGGTTGGTTGAGCTGTTTTTCCAGCAGTGGAGGCTCCTCAGAAGGGACATTGAAAAAGTTATCCTTTTTAGACAAAACTATATTAAATATATTCACGTCACCAAATAATTGATTAAAACACTCATTTTGCAATGAAGGTCTACAGTAGCCTCAACAGCACTCTGTAGGGTAGCACCATGGTGTAGCCAGAGGACAGCTAGCTTCCGTCCTCCTCTGGGTGGGCACATTGACTTCAATACAAAACCAAGGAGGATCTTGGTTCTCACCCCCTTTCATAGACTTACACAGTAATTATGACTACTTCCGGAGGACGTCCTCCAACCTATCAGAGCTCTTGCAGCATGAACTGACATGTTGTCCACGCAATCAAAGGATCAGAGAATGAATGTAGTACTGAAAGCACAAGCTAAAGCTAGCTAGCACTGCAGTGCATAAAATGTGGTGAGTAGTTGACTCAAAGAGTTGAACAGTTTTCAACAAATTAATTTCTTCAAAAATGAAGGAGAAGCATGAGAGGGAGCGAGAGAGAGATTGTCATTTTTTTCACTTTCAGTTTCACTTACTTAGCTAGCAAATGCAGCTGGCTAGTTTAGTTACTCAAACACCCGGCTCAAACAGAGGGATGCTATGTTAGCTAGCTGGCTATGACTATCCAACACCACACTGTAACTCTTCACAGTCAAGGTAAGCTTTTGGTTGTTTAATTTATTGCCACCGGGGCCCGGCGGTGTAACTGCTTACTGACTCTACACTGTAACGTTACTGCATGATTGTAGCGGGTTTCCTAATGCATTAGTTCTATTAGTTATGTTGACTAGGATGTTAATTTAGCTAATATGGGGACAACGATGTAGGCTGTTTGTAGAGGATATGACATGGTTTGACTTGGACCGTTCTTTTCGCCTGGTCACATACAGCTGATGTGTTGTTCATTGAAGTCCACAAACAAAGGGAAAAGGTGAGATGAGGAGAGGGCATAGAGGCTAGAATGAATACAACGTGGCTGCTATGAAAGTGAACTGTGTTTATGCGTAATCAGCGGTGTATTCATTCCGCCGATTCTGTTGAAAAAAACGTTTCTTAAACGGAAGCAAAGGGGGATAAAAATACCTGAATTTGTCCAATAGAAACTCATTTGCAACTGTTGGACTAATGACTACACCCTAGATAAGCTAGATGCAGGCAAGAGTGTGCAAGGCGGTATTGAATGTGTCACTGTCTGTCAAAGTGTCACTGTCTGTCATCTCACATTTTTCTTTCGACCTGAGTTCACCTACGTTGTAAACTTTAATTCATAGGCTAGGTTGTAGCAACCTCATGATGGGTATAGAGAAAATGTGAGTATCATGTAGTAGCCTAAACCTATCGATGTTACATTGAACTGGGGGCATGGAATATGAATGACAGTCATCCAACATGCTGTAATAGAAATAAGGCCATGCTCATGAGAAAAAAATGTGTCCTCCCTCATCATAAACTGCACTGACCGCCACTGCTTTCCAGTACCTGAAATTAGGCTACTGGCTGCCCTTAAAGCCTGCATGCTAGCTAGCTCGATATTTTAAAGGTACTTTAGCTAAGGTTAGCCAACTACATTGGTCTTATGTCTTGCACCAGAACAGCCAGCTAAAATGACTTGACTGTATGGGATGTAGCTCAGTTGATAGAGCATGGCGTTTGCAACGCCAGGGTTGTGGGTTCGTTTCCCACGGGGGCCAGTATTAAAAAAAACATGTATTCACTAACTGTAAGTCGCTCTGGATAAGAGCGTCTGCTAAATGACTAAAAATGTAAATGTAAAATCTGTATCTGTCCCTAACAAATTTCACACTCAGCTAGTTGCTAGTACTCTAGCTAGCTAGCTAGCTTCCAACCGAACGCACACGTACCTAACGTCAGCTAGCTACTATGGATGAACTGGTGGTGGTGCTGGTACTTACTTATTTCATCAACATTCTTCAAGAAACTCTCAAAATCCTCGAACTCTTTTGTCATGTTGATTTGTTTACCAGTAATCTGCTAAATGAAGATTATGCAATACCAATGAAACAAGCTGTTTCTTTGTTTAGCTAGCTACTGTAGCTACAATAGTTGTGGATGTCAATCTACTCTTCTTCTTGACTTGAGTGTGTAATGTATTCGTAACTATGGTAACGGTCAATCTTTTTTTTTCAAAGTGGGGATTGGATTTCTAAAGGTCACGTGCTCTAAGTAGGGGCGTGTGGTTTCGAAGTGTACCTTATCTACATTTTCTACAAACAAATGTATAAAGGCTTGATACAGTATATTACACCTGTGATAACAGCTCCAGTCCTATAGCAGAGAGTGCTTGCCACTGCCACCCCGCTGAAGAGCATAGCTCACCCTTTTTTCCAGTCCATTCGGTTCATAATGGACCGCTTACAGCAGTATCTGAACACAAAAAAGACCAAGAGTGCCGCCATGAGATTTTCAGGGGTATTGAAAATGTGCACAGTTTACTAAGTGATATCCACCTGTTGTACCCTGAATTTTACTATTGCAAGCATGCATTTTTATCATTGTAGCATAAATGCACCATGGTACTGGGTCATCCTATAATTTTAACTGAATAATAACAACTGGAACTGGATTATGCATCACAGCAAAGTAATCAATATTTTTTAAAGACAGATTATCAGTTTACTGAATAGTCCCCCCCCAGGTGAGTAATTAGGCCTGATTCTGCTTGGAAG